TTGGCCTTCTTGGCCGCCTGAGCACACTGCTTTAGAGATGTTAACTGCTTCGTTAGGTCTGTGAACGTTTAATAGGAGATTAAAACAACCTGTGTGTCTGCACCATTGCCGTACCCAGGTAAGATCACAAAATAATTTACCTTTTTTCTCCATTTTACCTCTTTCTCCTGGTTCTGTTCCCGTTTGGTGGATCTTGGTCACTTTGTGCACTCATGTGCGTCAACAGCAGAGTTAAAGGATGTGCTGCAACCAATTAATCCTGACTAATTGGAGCAGATTAGTGTCACACTTGGCCCCGTTTGACTCCCTGTGCGCTGTGTTATTCGGGGTGAATTTGTGCCCTCAAACGCACTGACGCCAAAGTGCAAACCCTGCCTGTGACGTCAGGTCTTTGATGGGAGAAGTTAAAGATTATCTTGATATTGTTCATGGTAGAAGAAGACAGGATAGAGAGAAAAAGAGAGACCCTCTGGGCTGGATGGTCCCAGCTGGGAGCAGTGGTGGCTGAGCTGTCCCTTTGGAGCCATGGTTGGGGTTTCCAAAGGGGCTGCTCTGCTTTGGGGTGGATGTCCCAGGCATGTTGGCCAGTGTCTTTGCAAGGAGACTTGGTGCTACAAGAAAGACCTGCTGTTGGGGTAAGCAAAGCCATATCTCTGGAGATATCGTGCTTCCATATGGCTTTTGCATGCCCAGTGCACGTGCTGGAGAAGCCAACCAGCCCTCCTTGCTCCCCATGGCTGTTGGAGCCAGAACAGAGACATTTAGGGTTTGAATCATTCACTGCATGGTCTTTCCCATATATATGACACAGTTTGGATCAAGAGCCCTCACCTCTAGTCCTGGCACATCCCAAGAGCTCTGGTGGGAGTTTTGGTGCAGTGTGGATGATGGTGAGATGATTAAATCCCAGGGAGCGGGGATTTCCCTGGGTAGCAGAAGCAGCAACACAGGGTGAGGGGACCCAGTCTGACCCTGCCTAAACCAGCCACTGTTTCTTGTGTTTCTCTAGGTTAGAAATCTCTGTTACATGGTGACGAGACGAGAGAAAATGAAACACACCATTTGCAAACTCCAGGAGCAGATCTTCCATCTCCAGATGAAGCTTATTGAGAAAGATCTTTACCCAGGTCAGTACCACTTACCAGAGCTTGTTCTCACAGCCACTGTCCCTGCTGTCCTCTGAAGCCAAAGACCTGTGCCCAGGCCTCAGCCCCCACCCCTGCAGTGTTATTTAATCACAGTTTCTATGTTGACTCATTGCCCATCTCCATTTTTGTTCAGAAACACACAATAAAGCCAGTCCCTGGGTGACTGGGGTGTTGGAGCTCCTTGTTTTCACAGATCCCTCTTGATCTTCCTCTCCATGAGAACTGGTCAGAAGGACCAAGCGTTTAGTTAGGTGGTGATGCTATAAGGCAGCATTTTGGTGGCTTTTGTGGAGATGGAGCTGTTTTGGAGGAGACAGCAAACCCTGGGCATGGGGCTGCTGACGTTGGGGGCTGATCCACGGCAGCTGGCTCCCTGGCATGGTGAGCTGCCAAAGCTTTGGACTCTTTGCAGATGCTTTTGGCTCTGTCAGGAATGAAAGGTTAAGCTGCTGGTGGGATGTCTGTTGCTTGTAGAAACCAGCTCCTTTAGCTCTGGTCGGCTGCAGTTCTCTGCTTCACGTACTGATTAGTGGAGAACATCACGCCGCTGCGTGCAAAGCCTCTGGCAACTTTTCCTAAGGAACTGAAATAAAGTTGGTTTCCTTCTGTCCTATTTTTCTTTTCCTTTTGCACAAACGGTGCTGGAGCCCACAGCTCCTGCTCCCTCCTCCCTTCCCTTCCTCCCCTTCCCTTCGGTGGCAGCACAGACCAAACCCCGTGGCTGCAGAAGAGTTTTTCCAGCAGCAGCATCTGGCACTTTGGCAGTCCGACGGTTGTTGTGTTTGTGGCTTTGGAGTTGTGTTTGAAGCCATCACATGGTTGGGGTTTCTTCAGGAAGCGTCTGGGCTGAGCTTTCCTTGACAAAAGTTGCCTTTGATTTAAGTTTTGGAGGCTGAGAAATGTGGACATTGAGATGTTTGTGACTCGGAATCTGTGCAAATTCCTATTGATGGCCAGAGACAGGGGTGACTGGGACACCAAGACGTGCTCCAGGGTGATGTCTGGGTCCTGTAGATCTCAGTCTCCATGACACAGATCAGTGACTCTGTATGTCCTCACTGAACCAGCGATAGTCACCAGCCTGGGCACACACAAAATGGTGTTCCTGGCCATTTCCACCAAGGGGAGACCCCACGTTGCACATCCCAAGAGCCATTCCCTGGCACCCAGGAAATTTGTGACAACTGGTGCTCCCAGCAGCGATTTTGCTGGTCAGGACAGCGAGGCAGGAGGTCCAGCTCAGGAATAACAAGTGGATAAAAGGCAAGAGCAACAAACTCAGATCCTGAAGGCAGGTCTGTGGGTTTTGGGGGGATCTCAGGGGACCTCGTGATGTTCTTCAGTTCAGCTGGGTGAACCTGCTTTAGCATTTGCAGCTCTTGGAAGGAGACAGGTGCTGGGCAGTTTGTCAGGACAGCTTTTTGAGCTCACCTCCCTGGCACATGGGGTGTTAGACTGCTGGAAATGCCCTTGGGGACTTGCATTCCCCAAAATCCTAGAATCATACAGTCATAGAATGGTTTGGGTTGGAAGGGACCCTCAGGGGGCATCTAGTCCTACCTCCCTGCAGTGAGCAGGGACATCTTCACTAGAGCAGGTTGCTCAGAGCCCCATCAAGCCTGACCTTGAATATCTCCAGGGATGGGACCTCCGCTACCTCTCTGGGCAACCTGTTGCAGTGATCCACCACCCTCATATTGAAGAACTTTTTCCTAAAATCCAACCTAAATCGACCCTTTTCTAGTTTAAAGCCATGACCCCTCGTCCTATCGCTCCATGTCCTTGTGAACAATTCTTCCCCAGCTTCTTAGAGGCACCTTTCAGGTACTGGAAGGCCACTAGAAGGTCCCGCTGGAGTCTTCTCTTCTCCAGGCTGAACAGCCCCAACTCTCAGCCTGTCCTCACAGCAGAGCTGCTCCAGCCCTCGCATCATCCTCGTGGCCTCCTCTGGACTGGCTGCAGCAGGTCCATGTCCTTCTGTTAAGAGCTCCAAAGCCTTGGCAAGTCTGACCTCTGGAGGGTCCCTCTCTCTGATGCAGTGATGGGGTGGGATTTGGTGGGATTTTGCAGCTCCTCCCAAAGGAAGGAAGGCTGGGCTGGGTGAGCTGGGACCCTTGCTGGTGGGATGGGGATGCTCGCCGGTGAGGAGGAGCTGTGTCAGGGCTCTGCTGGTGTGTTTCGGGGCTGTCTGCACCCCTGAGTGCTGGCACCATGCAATGACTGTCCTGAAAATGTTACACGTGTGCTCAGGGAACAGCAGGACTACCGCTGCTGTGAGGTTTGTTCTGCCTCAAGGTGAGTGGTCACAGACAGACCCACAGTGAGAGGGTGACTTGGGCAGTGTTGGTGTGCAGGCTGTGGGACTGCTTTGTTCATTTTGATGGAAATATCTTTCTCCTGCCCCAAATGGTTGGCGTGTGCCAGTTTGTTTTCTGCTCTGATCCAAGCTGCTTATCTCTCCTGGGATGGGCTTTTTGGTTGAGCCTCTGGGACCCGGCTTCCACAAGTCACTGCTGCCAGGGAAAGGGCTTGGCTGTGGGAATTTGGTCCTGGGATCTCCAGGTGGTTTGGGCATCTGGGTCCTTCCCATGCTAGGGGGACATTAGGGACTCAAGTGCCTTTTGATGTTGGTGTGTAGGGTCTCCCAAGCTTGGGAGGAGTTCCTTGCTGGGATGTAGCATCATAA